ACCAACAACAACAACACCAACAACAACAAACCCAAAAAGCTGCTTTTTGTTAAGTTCCGTCAAGTCGTTTCCAACTCATAGCAACCCTATATAGGATTTCTGAGGAGTGGCTGGTGGGTTTGAACCTCTGCCTTGCAGTTCAAACTGGCCTTGCAGTCCAGTGCTTATCCTACAGCACACCAGAACGTGAGAAAGATACTTCTGTGCTTTATTGACGATGCAAAGGCTTTCGACTGTGTGGGTCTTGACAAGCTATGGATAACATTGACAGTACCCAACAACAATGACAAAGTAATAGAGAATTGTTTCCTCTTCTTCTGTATTTTTGAAAGAATTCATTTTAAAACACTGTTACCAATCCTTCTTGAACTACTGTTTAGTAGAATCCACTTAACAATCTGGGTCTGGCTCATCCTTGTGTGAAGTTTGGAAATCACTAATTCTTCTTAGGTCTCTTGGGGCAGTTTGTGTTTTTATTGTTGTTGTTAGATGCCATCGAGTCAGTACCAACTCATAGCGAATTTATGCACAACAGAACGAAACACTGCTCGATCCTGGACCAACTTCACAATTGCCACGCTTGAGCCCATGGATGCTGCCAATGCATCTCACTGGGGAGTCTTCCTCTTTTTCGCTGACCCTCCACTTTACGAAGCATGATGTCCTTCTCCAGAGACTGGTCCCTCCTGGTAATATGTCCAAAGTATGATGCACAAAATCTGGCCATCCTGGCTTCTAAGGGGCATTCTGGCTGTACTTCTTCCAACAAAGATTCATTTGTTCTTTTGGCAGTCCATGGTACTTTTAATATTCTCCTTCAACAGTATAACTCAAATGCATCAATTCTTCTACGGTCTTCTTTATTCATTGTCCAACTTTCACATGCATATAAGGTTGTAGAAAATACCAGTCAGGTGCACCGTAGTCCCCAAACTGATATCTTTGCTCTTGAACACTTTAAAGAGATCTTCTGTAGAAATTTGCTTAATGCAATATATCATTTGATTTCTAGACTGCCACTTCCATGAGTGTTGATGTGAGCAAAATGAAGTCTTTGACAATTTCAATCTTTTCTCCATTTATCTTGATGTGATTTATTAGCCCAGTAGTGAGGATTTTTATTTTCTTTAAACTGAGGTGCAACCCATACCAAGGCTGTGGTCTTTGGTCTTCATCAGTAAGTTTTTTAAGTCCTCTTCACTTTTAGCAAGCAAGGTTGCATCATTTGCATATTTCTGATTGTTAATGAGTCTTCCTCTGATCCTAATGCCACGTTCTTCTTCATATAATCCAGTTTCTCGAATTATTTGCTCAGCATATAGATTGAACAAGTATGGTGAAAGAATACAAGCCTCGTGCACACCTTTCCTACATTTAAACCATTCAGTGTTCCCTCATTCTGTTTGAACAGCTGCCACAGTTAAGTGCTTTGGAATACTCATTTTCCTCAAGGTGATTCATAGCTTGTCATAATCCACACAATCAAAAGCCTTTGCGTAGTCAGTAAAGCACAGATAAGCACCTTTCTTATATTCTCTGCCTTCAGCCAAGTTCCATCAGACATCAGCAGTGATATTCCCTTATTCCACATTCTGGTTTGAATCTAGCTTAAAACTCTGGTAATTCTCTGTCAGTGTACTGTTGTAGTTATTTTTGAATTATCTTTAGCCAAATTTTACTTGCTTACGATATTAATGATACTGTCTAATGATTTCTGCTTTCTTTTGGGTCACCTCTCTTTGAAATGGGCACAAATATGGATCTCTTTTAGTCAGTTGGCCTAGATGAGTGGCTCCAGTGCGGCATGAGTTTGTTGAAAGATTTTAGTTTGTATTCCATCAATTCCTGGAGCTTGTTCTTTGCCAATGCCTTCAGTACACCTTGGATTTCTGCCTTCAGTATCATCGACTCTTGACCATATGCTACCTCTTGAAATGGTTGACCATCACCCGTTTCTGTTTGGTGCAGGGACTCTGTGTAGTCCTTCCATCTCTTGCTGCTTTCTGGGTCATTCAGTGTTTTGCCCATCGAGTCTTTCAGTGTTGCAAGTCAAGGTTTGAATTTTTCCCTTTTGGTTTTCTAACTCCAGGTCCTTGAACATTTCGTTATAACATTTGACTTTGTCTTCTCGGGCTGACCTTTCAAATTTTTATTCACCTCTTTTACCTCCTCATGTCTTCCATTTGCTTTAATATCTGTTCTGGAGAGCAAGTTTCAGAGTCTCTTCTGACATCCATTTTTTTTCTTTCTTCCTTGTCTTCTTAATGACCTTTTGCTTTCTTCCGGTATACTATTCCTGATGTCATCCCACAAGTCTTCTGATTTTCATGGCCCTACATATAATAGAATGTTCATGATCATTGTAGTCATGGCGCTGGCCACCTCATTGAGGTTCTTTCTCCTTCTCCAGGGACTGGTCCATCCTGATAGCATGTCCAAAGTATGTGAGATGAAGTCTCACCATCTTCGCTTCTAAGGAGCAAGCATTCTGACTATACTTTTTCAATGACAGATTTGTTTTGTTCATTCTTCTAGTAGTGCTTGGTATACTCAATATTCTTTGCCAATACCATAATTTAAATGCATCAATTTTTGGTCTTTATTTTTTGTTCATCTTTCATTTGTATATGCGATGATTGTACTATGGCTTGGGTCAGGTGAACCTTAGTCCTCAAAGTGACAACTTTGCTCTTTAACACTTTAAAGAAATTTTTTTGCACCAGCCTTTTCCAGTGCAATCAGTTATTTGATTTCCTTACTGCTGCTTTTATGGACAGTGGTTGTGTGGATCCAAGTAAAATGAAATCCTTGATAACTTGGAACTGGGGAATGAGATGAGGAGTGCTGGTTACCTGTCCCTCTTGATAGGAAACCGTAGCCCTACTGGGAGCTGTGGTAAAGGGAGCCCCCATGTTCTTGGCTGCACTCGCCAGGAATAGAGCTTCCTTCTCACTGAGCTGGGGGAGGAAGGGAGGGAGCATATCATGGTTAAACTGCCACAGACTTCTAGTTCCCAAGAATTTGTTTTCTTGTTGAAATTTGTCTCCTCTTTGCTGTATGCCCTTAGGACATCCACAATTTACAGGCATTTAAAGCCTATTTTGTTGTTTTATAATATTCACTTTCTAGCTATTTTGTTGGGAGAGGGTTTGCAGACTCCTCATGCTATCATTCCCTCACTTAATTTGGGATTTTCTTTCTTTTTTAAACCCTTCAGGTCATAACTTTCGTTCAGGGGTTTGCAGACAAAAGTCACACCCATTCATTTACATATTGTCTACATCTGGCAAAGTTGACTAGTTGCAACAGAGACCTATGACCCATGAAATCCTAAAATTGCATCTAGCCCTTTTCAGAAACAAATTTCCAAGACTGTGAGCCACAAGGTCAGCAGTTTGAAACTACCAGCTGTTGCACGGGAGAAACATGAGGCTTTCTGCTCCCGTAAAGATTTACAGCCTCGGAAACCCTGTACAGGGTCTCTATGAGTCGGAACCGACTCCACGGCACATAACAACAACAACTTAAATTTGGCTAACGGCAAGGTTGGCAGTTCAAACCCACCAGGTGCTCCTCGGAAACCAAATACAAGGTCGCTATGAGTCGGAACTAACTCCACAGCACTTAGCAACAATTTTAATTGCTAAGCTTTACTGAAATCTTTGATGACTTAAGTGTGAACGCTTCTATAGTGAACGTGAGTTGCCAAGAATACCAACTGTAATTAATAGCAGGTTTGGTTGAAAACAGACAAAAGGAGATGCCAGATGTGTAACGGAAAGCATAATCGCTTCTGTTGTGTCTTGTGTTTAATTTTTAGATCTGGTGGCTCACCGTGGAGAAAGATTGGAACTACTGATAGACAAAACAGAAAACCTTGTCGATTCAGTAAGTATGAAGTCCGCTATTTATCTGGATTTAACGTAGACAAACTGCTGTTGATGGCTAACATCATGGGGAAAGGCCTATTTTGCTTCTTTTCCATCTCCATATGTGATTACATTGTGATAATGATCACTAGTTAATAGCTATTAATGTGTGGCATTGTAGGATAAGAAATGGACTGCTCACCACAGAGTTGCCAGTTCAAGGCCACCAACCACTTTTCAGGAACCCTGAACAGCACTTATGGCCAACACTTAACAACAAAACATGGGTACTTTGGTTTGGAAAATGTATTTAATATACAGAAAAACTTTTTTAAAGCTTTGGATTGATGGTTTCTTTGAACACCTCAGTTGCATATACCAGTTTGATACCTGTGCAAATTTATAAAACATTTGTGAAGTAAATCAATAGGCAGGCTAGTTGTGGCCCGTTATTCGTCCTGAAAACTAGACAGTTGATTCACTTTCTTGCTTATGAAATGAAATGGGAAAGGCCTGTGAGCCTTCAATGAGGCAGTATGTCTGATGTTGTAGTTACATGTGTCTTTTCATTTTCCAGCTAGTTACTAGATGAAGGTGTGAGGAAAGATGATAGATAGATAAATAATGGGCGACTGAAATAAGTTACAATTTAGGTTTGTTGTTGTTAGGTGTCCTCGAGTCAATTCCAACTCATAGCGACCTTATGCAAAACAGAAAGAAATGCTGCCACGTACGGCACCATCCTCACAATTAATAAGCTTGAGCCCATTGCTGCTGCCACTGTGCCAGCTCATCTCCAAACCTCCACTTGACCAAAACATTATGTCTTTCTTCAGTGACTCGTCCCTCCTGATGATATGTATATCTGAAGTATGAGAGATGAAGTCTGGCCATCCTGGCTACCAAGGAGCACTCTGGCTGCACTTCTTCCAACACAGATAGATCTGTTTGTTCTTTTGGCAGTCCATGATAATTTCAATATTCTCCAACACCATAACTCACAGGCATCAATTCTTCAGTGGTCTTCCTTATTCACTGTCCAAGTTTCACATGCATATGAGGTTATTGAAAATACCGTGGCTTGGGTCAGGTGCACCTTAGTCCTCAAGCTGACATCTTTGCTCTTCAACACTTTAAAGAGGTCTAGTGCAGCAGATTTGCCTAAGGCAATACATCATTTGATATCTTGACTGCTGCTTCCATGAGTGTGTTGATGGTTGATCTGAGCAAAATGAAGTCTCTAACAACTTCAATCTTTTCTCCATTTATATGGATGTTGTTTATTGGTCCAGTGGTGAGGACTTTTGTTTTCTTTACATTGAAATGAAACCCATACTGAATTCTGTTGTCTTTGAGCTTTAGCAGTATTTTGAGTCCTCTTCACTTTTAGCAAGCAAGGTTAGATCATCTGCATATCACCGGTTGTTTAATGAGTCTTCCTCCAACCCTGATGCCATGTTTTTCTTCATATAATCCAGTTTCTTGGATTATTTGCTCAGCATACAGGTTGAATAAGTATGGTGAAAGAATACAACCGTGATGCACACCTTTATTAATTTTAAACCATTCAGTCTTCCCTTGTTCTGTTCAAACAGCTGTCTCTTGGTCCAGGTACAGATTCCTCATGAGCACAATGAAGTGTTCTGGAATACTCAGACTTCGCAATGATGTCCATAGCTTGTCATGAGCCACACAATGGAAAGCCTTTGCATAGTCAATAAAGTACAGGTAAACATCTTTCTGGTATTCTCTGCTTTCAGTCAAGATCCATCAGACATCAGCAATGATATCCCTCCTTCTACGTCCTCTTTTGAATCCGGCTTGAACTTCTGGAAGTTCTGTCCATGTATGGTTGTAGCTGTTTTGTATTATTACCTTCAGCAAAACTTTACTCGTGTGGGATAGCAATCATATTGTTCAATGATTTCTGCATTCCATTGGGTCACCACTCTTTGGAAAGGGCACAAACATGGCTCTCTTTCCATAGATGTTGTCAGTTCACCATCTGGTGAAGTCCATGTCTTTGTATGGTGTTACAATGAAGAAGTAAGTCATCCATCTTGTAAACTTTTATCATTCGATCGCCATCATCATTTCTATCATCAAGACTATATTTTTCAACTACTGATCCTTCATCTTTGATTTGCAGTCACCAGTAATTATCAGTGTACCTTGACTTCACGTGGGATCAATTTCAGACTGAAGAAGCTGGTAGAATTCTTCAATTTCTTTATCACTGGCTTCAGTGGTTTTTGCATAAATTTGAATAATGTGGTATTGACTGGTCTTCCTTGTAGGCATATAGGTATTATTGTATCACAGACAACATTATACTTCATGATAGATCTTGAAGTGTTCTTTTTGATAATGCATGTGATGTCAATCCTTTTCCATTTGTCATTCCCTGCCTGGTAAACCATGTGATTAGTCGGATTCAAAATGGCCAATGCCAGTCCATTTCAGTGCACTGATGCCTATGGTATCCACGTGTATGGGTTCCATGTCCTTTGAGGGTGCAGCTCTTCCTCAGTCATATTTTGAGTATTTTGAATGCCTTCCAACCTGAGAGTCTCATCTTCTGGCACTGTATCTGACAAGATTCTGGTGCCATTCATCATGTTTCAATATTCAACACACTGGTGCTATCTGACAGTGTTAACTGTTATTCATAAGTAGTCCACCTCTCCTTCTGAGTCTGTCTTAGTCTGGAAGGTCACCTGGAACCTGTCCACCATGAGTGACCCTTCCAGCATTCAAACTTCAAAATCCTGGTGACATAGCTTCCAGCATCCCAACAGAACACAAACTGATAGACAGTTTCGGTCTAAACAATTTCAAATGGAAATGAAGACTAGTTGACAGCTGCAATACAGTGTAGAACCAGAGTCTGCCTTGGTTTGAATTCCATCTCTGCCAACTTACTAGTTGTGTGACTTTAGGTAAGTTACTTAACCTTTCTGTGCCTCAGGTGTCTTTGTCTGTAAAATGGAGATGCACCTTCCTCAGTGTTGTGAGGAGTAAGTCAGATAAAGCATGCGAACTGCCTAACACAGGGTCTAATGCGTGTTGTTATTGTTAGGTAATGTATAAGTCAGTTCCAACTCATAGTGACCCTGTGCACAGCAGAAGGAAACACACTGCCCGGTCCTGCACCATTCCTACTGTCACTGTGCCAATCCATCTTATTGGGGCTCTTCCTGTTTTTCACTGACCTTCCACTTTACCGAGCATGATGTCCTTCTCCAGGGACTGGTCCCTGCTGCTAACATGTCCGAAGTAGGAGAGAGGAAGTCTCATCATCTTTGCCGCTTCTAAGGAGCACTCTGGTTGTCCTTCTTCCAAGACAGATTTGTTTATTCCTCTGGCAGTCCATGGTAAATTCAGTATTCTTCTCTAGTACTATAATTGAAATGCATCAGTTGTAAGGTCTTCCTTATTCATTGTCCACCGTTCACATGCGTATGAGGCCATTGAAAATACTATGGCTTGGATCAGGGCCATCTTAGTTCTCAAAGTAACATATTTGTTTTTTAGCACTCTAACGATGGCTTGTGCAGTAGATTTGCCCAATGCAATGCGTCATTTAATTTCTTGACTGCTGCTTCCATGAGTATCTATTGTAGATCCAACTAAAATGAAATCCTTGACAACTTCAATATTGTAGTCCAAACTATTTAAATGTGTATTTATCATGTTATTTTTACAGAGACATCTATTAACAACATGCATTAAGAGGGCGATCAGAATACTGGCTATTAGTATTACCACAGTTTAATAGATTTTTCATCAAAGTGTGTGATAATTAGCACAAAGATGGCACTATATACAGGCTCTAGAGCTCACTTTATGACCTGTTCTCATGGGGGCAAAGAAATATCTGGTCCCACATCTGCAGAGCAATTTATTTGGTACGTCCAACCCATCTTTTAGCTATTCTTAATCCATGAAGATAATCCAACTTAGTTGGAAGAGTCTATGCCTGACAGATGGAAATATAGTCTGTAGTCTGCAAAAAAAAAAAAAAAAAAAAAAAGTTGAAAAACGCAAGGCACCAACGATACCTTTCCACAACACTCTCCACTCAGTTTGGTTCAATAATTCATTGCAATGCCTACACAAAACTCAGATACCATACTGCAACTTATGGAGTTTATTAGGGAAGTTGTTGTTAAGTGTGCTCAAGTCAGTTCTGAAGGAGCAGCTGATGGGTTTGAACTGCAGACCTGCTGGCTCACACACAGTCTATCATAATGCTGATCCTACAGCTCCACACCAGGAGTCCATTAGGGAAGTTAACAAGTTTCAATACAGAATCAGGAAATACTCAGGGCATAGCTGGTCCAGTCAGCCCACAGGACACAACACTCCACCATAACCCACAACCTGAAGGCATTCAGCACCCCCCCCCAACTTAGTGCCTGGTGGCGCCCCACTCTACAAGCAAGCTTTCTACCCAAAGTCACTCAGCTTTATTTGCTCCTGGGACTGGGCAGTCCACTGCTCTGTCTCATGCTCTGATTCTTGGTTCTGCTGCTGCTCCTCTGGCATCACAATTTTCTATCCTTGGGTTAAGGAGGTTCAGTGCACAGGGATCTCCGGGTCCAAAGGACATGCTCCACTCCTAGCTCTTTTTTGGTGGTACTGAGATTCCACCTCCTGCTTCTGAGATGGCTCATTTTATAACCATGCTAGAATTTCAGGTTTTTATAATTACAATGAACTACCATCCACAGCTGAATCATGTCATCCTATCAGAAACATTGTTCGGTGGAAGTTACACACTATGACTAAAAGAGACATTTCTATAATTCACTACACTACAAGATTGTCTTAATTTTTTTGACTATATGATCCAGAATAGCAAAAGATGCTGCTGATGAATTAGTAAGTTTCTCTGTTTATTGAAGAATAACATGTGTATAGTACACTATATAAAGTATACTGCTTTTAAGTGTACAACTCAATTATTTATTACTTTTGCATATACCATGTAACCACCACCTAAATCAATATATAAAA